TTTGTTGTTCTACAGGTTACATTCTTTTCAAACTGGGTTTTACAGATCACATTTCACTCTTCACTCCTTGGGGCGGGCTTTCCCCTCATCTGGGGAGCAAAGGCGCATTTCTATTGGTCAGAATGGACGCTAGCAACAACATTTTTATTTGTCAGGAGCATTGGTATTGGAGTATTGGTATTGAAGTGAAGATAATGTGATCAGAAAAAGACAATTTAAAAAGAATGAAATTCATAAAAACTCCAGTTGAAAAACTGGAATTAAAAAAATAAAACCTTTAAAACAAATAGGAAAATAAAGATTGAAAAAAAAAAATGAAAATTTAAACCTTTTTTCTCTTAGGAGTTCCATTTCTTGATTGCATTTTCTTCATATTTCCATTTACACAACATGTTATTTTCCTGCAACAATTATACAACAAAATTCCCTCCATACAGCTGCTACCGAAAGCTATAAAGGGATAGCTCAGTATTTTTAAGATGTAAATCTGTTTAAAGGTTCTGTCAGACCATTTTCTGCCAATATTTAAAACCTCATCTTCTTTCAGACTTTCTGATATTTGTTTTTCAACTATAAGATAAACGGAAAACGTATTCTTCTATTTACAGTTTATCTCATGGTTTGGCTCATATCTTGAAACAGAAATTACATTCTAAAAACTTGCAGATCATTTTTCAAAACAGTTTTACAGTTTAGCAAAACACAATAGTTAACTTGCAAAAGCTCATATCTCTTCCAAATCTAAAAACTTTTCCTTCTACCACCATCGCCATCCTCCACTATCGTCATACCCGTGACCACACTCTTTATCCTCCTGACCACATCATCATCCTCCTGACCACCATCGTCATCCCCCTGACATCCGTCTTTAATCCCCTGACCACCCTCACCATCCTCCTGACTACCATGTTCATGCCCCTGACCACTATCTTCATCCTCTTGACCACCGTCATCTTCCTACACGGTCGTTATACTAGACGGTCGTCATCCTCCTGACATCCGTCTTCACCCCCCTGGCCACCATCATCATCTTCCTGACCACCATTGTCATCCTCCTGACCTTCATCGTCATCCACAACCGTCGTCATCGACCTGACCACTATCTTCATTCCCCTGACCACCATCTTCATCCTCCTGACCCCCATCTTCATTCCCCTGACCACCATCTTCATCCTCCTGACCCCCATCTTCATTCCCCTGACCACCATCATCATCCTCCTGACCACCATGGCCTTCCTCCTGACGACATCTTCATTCCCCTGACCACCATCTTCATCCTCCTGACCCCCATCTTCATTCC